CAGGATGCGGCGGTCAGCAGGACAGACCTGGTCCTGGAAACCCATGGAGCTGGCAGTTCCCACTCACCAGAGGGACGCAGCTCAGGCCCACTAGTGACAGGCAGGGTGTGGAGGCCACGGGCGAAGCCCACAGCAGATTATTCCCCTGGCTGTGTCCCCGCCACGCTGCTCAGGAGCAAAATGCACTGAGCCCAGACACCTGCCACGTGGCGAGCAGAAACTGGTTCATCTGCTTTGCCCTGAAAGCCCAAGCAACAAAGAACAGGGAAACGACGCCGCATTCAACACGAGCCAGACACAGGCAAACAAGGATCGCGCTCCCCCTCCCCCTTGGAGAGCATCTGCTGCTGACATGCCTGGGATGCGGCCGCAGCTCCCGCCACCTGCCCAGAGCCAGGCGGAGGCCCTGCACGTCTTTCCGGGAACCCCCGGCTTTGCAGGTCAAAGGGTGATATGGAATCCTGCAGGCAGCCCGGATCAGGCCCCAGGCCCCGGGCAGCAGCTCCTTCAGTCTCATCACCAGGATAAGCCCCTGTGGGACCGCCATGACTTCTCCTCGCAGCTCTGCTGGACTTCAAGTTACAGGATTAATTCAAAAGAGAAAGACACTGGCTGCACACAGAAGCCACGCTCAGGATGCACCCGGAAAGGCTGGGCCCAAAGATGAGCCTCCACGCGGAAGCGAGAACAGGACAGCAAGTTGTATTTAAAACGAAGGAACTAGGGCTTGGGGCATTCCCTGCAGTGCTGGGATCTTGGACCATAGGGAAACAAGACCCTATAACCAGACGGGACCGTCACCGAAACCGTGGTGAGGGAACACCCGGTGGTGGCCTGCGTGGCTGTGACTCTCCTTTCGCACCTGTCCGGCGGTCTCGACTAGCACCCACTCCCCGGAAAACCCCAAAGCTTCTGCCTCCGAGGAGAGACCACCTGCCATTTCTACACCCTTGATGGTAAGTTTCAAAGTGTGATTTTCACCCCAAAGAGCCAAGGAAGTCAGGCCTGGGAGAAGAAACTCAGCTCAGAGGTGAGCCCGGATCTGGGACCAACGCAAGACGAAGCCCAAAGGGTAAGGGAAGATGCAGACCCAGCCAGGAAACCCCACATCGCCCGGAGGCTGGCTCAGGTTCCTCCCACTTCTGTGCGGTGCTGAAGCTTCTCACCACCTGTGAGTGAAGGGGAGCGAATGCATCACAAAACTAACCTCAGACTGAGAGGACGTATTAACGACACGCGAAAGCAACACAACGGATCCTGCTTAGAGAAAGCATTTTAGTTACAGAAAATAAAAGGCTAAAGGCTGCCAAGTGACATCTGTCATGGACGCCCTTTCCCGCACTTCCAGAAGGCTAAAGTAACGATGAACTGTATCAGACCACTGAAGTCAGGCTCACTCAACGTGCGAAGCAGCCCACAGCCGAAGCGGGCAGGCAGCACGGACGCGGGCTTGGCACCTGCAGGCTTGGCTTCACTGCGGCCAATCCGGAACGACCACGGAGAAGACACTGCCACATCCCAGCGTCTGCAGCCATACAGACCAGCAGACACATGCAGCAGCACCCCTTTCAACACCCGCAGACTCACTGCCCAAGGCTCAGCAGGAGAAGGACAGGCCGTCCCGGCCGGACAGTGCATTTCGGTTCTTTCTCTTCTCTTTTCTGTTATTCACGTGACGGAAGCCACCTCGAGCAGACATCGCACTTAGTCTTCCAGTGGCCCGATTTCGCTCTTCCTCTGAGGATGGTTATGTAAGTTCCGAAGACAGAGTAAAGAATGTATTTCAAATCAGATGCCACAGACAGCTCATAAAAGCAGATTTATTAGAGGTGCAAGACCAGGTGCTCACAGGACAGACAGGATAAAAACACCAAGAACGCCAAGACGATGAAAACCACCACCTCGGATGGGAATGGAAAGAGGCTTCCCACATCTTCGCCCGCGTTTTGGGGAAGGTACAAGCTTGTGCTCTCTCCTGTGCGCTGGACTCATCAACAACCGAATGTAATGCAAATGCCACAAAAGTGATGTGCAATGTACGATTCCATCACAAAATCACCCTCTGCCCTGTCACCTTCACATCCCAGGGCCCTCCACCCCCACCGCCTAATGCTGGATGAAACGAAGTAGCTAATCTTACAAGAGAATTTAGGCCTGTGACAAAATCAGGGTCCCTCAGCCGGGGAAGAAGGGGAGCTGGAATCTCCACAGGAGATGGTGTTGCCAAGCAACCTGATCCGCTCTGCTCCCCACAGCATCCTGCAGGGACCCAGCCCCTGGTGGAGGTACAGAGATAAGAGTGCAAATATACACAAGGGTGAATTCTACGTCTGCCTGGCCTCACTTTCCACCTGATGGACCACACAGATGCGGAGTGAGGAGTCAGAGCACAAACACAAAATGTTTTGTGCCAACCTCGTTCAACGTGGAAAGTCCAAACAATGGTCATTAGCATCAACAGGAATGTAAGATGTGTCAGGAATTCAATGCTTCTCCAAATCCCTGCACCCAGTCTTTGAAGTAGGTCGTACGGTTATTCCTACTTTACAGATGGGGAAATCAAGGCACTGAAGTGCGTGCCAGAGGAGTTGGGTCTTTTTAGTGTTTGGGGCTTTTTTTGAAACAGAGTCTCACTCTGTCGCCCAGGCTGGAATGCAGAGGCTGATCACGGCTCACTGCGGCCTTGACCTCCCGGGCTCAAGCTAGCTTCCCACCTAGCCTCCCAAGTAGCTGGGACCATAGGCACTCACCGGCGTGCCTGGCTAATCTGTTCACTTTTTGTAGAGACAGGGTCTCTCGAGGTTGCCCGAGGTGGTCTTGAACTTCTAGGTTCAAGTGATTCTCCCAAATACAAGGATTTCAGGTGTGGGCCACCGCGCCCGGTCCAGGGTTGGGATTTGAACACAGCAGTGCATCTTTCTAGGCCATGTTCTTAACCACTGCACCTTCTCCCCAAAACTGTGGGCAGTGCAACCGTAGGTAGGTTCTGCAAACTCAACGCCTTTAGCCTGAAGCCTGGGGGATGCTTTCCAGACTAAAGTGAACTGAGATTAGCAGCTAGTGGGGACATGGGATCAGTCCCACCTTCCTGCACTTTTATCAACCACCTGGCAGAATGTCTGTATATGAACGGTGGGCACCCACCACATCAGGGGAGGCAGCGGTACAACGGTTTTCTGGAGCTGGGATGTCCTGGGCCTGAGGCCTAGCTCTGTCACTCATAGCTGCATGAACTAGGGGCAGTTACTTCTCTTAGTATCACTGTACCCATCTGCAAATGGGCATAACTGTAGTCCTCACTTCACGAGCTTGTTTTGTGGGTTAAGTGAATGCATGCATGATAATTAGGAACTACTAACACAGTCACCATAATTGCAAGAGGATTAAATAATTCCACAAATAAAAACTTGCTTTCCTTTTTTTGAGACACAGTCTTGCTCTGTCACCTGGGCTGGGGCACAGCGGCACATCTCGGCTCACTGCAACCTTCGCCTCCCAAATTCAAGCGATTCTCCTGCCTCACCCTCCCGAGTAGCTGGGATTACAGGCTGGAGCCACCACGCCGGGCTAATTTTTGTATTTTTAGTAGAGATGCGGTTTCACCTTGCTGGCGAGGCTGGCCTTGAACTCCTGACCTCAGGTGATCTGCCAGCCTCGTCCATCCTCCCAAAGTGCTGGGATTACTGGCATGAGCCACAGTGCCCAGGCATAAAAACTTTCTTGAGCCACAGTCTCACCATAAAAATGCCTCTTGAAAACACAACCACCACACTCAGGATGCAAACAACAGCCGTTCATGAACTTCGTAGTTAATACTAAAAGTTACTCCTCACTTTACTCTTCATTTGCAAAAGCTTTCGTGGTTCTTAAAAGTGTTTAGTATTCACCAATTTTACTGTTAACGTTTCTGATGAGGATGTGCTAAAACTGAGGGGCGGATTTGAGAAAGTGCTCTGATCAGTCGGTAGCAGATTTGGAATGGAATCCCCAGCCCCCAGTCTTTGCATCCACCCTCTGGCAACATGCTGCCTCACGTGAGCATCTTGAAGACCGATTTCCCTTTTTATTCCAGATAAAATAATTAGGTGTCTTCGGTAGAAAGGAAAGTAGATCTTCAGGCTGAAGTCGCAGAGGCTGGCCAGCCAGCCCAGCTTCTCATCTGAACTCGACCCAGGCAGTAGAACAAACTTTACCATAAGGAAGGCAAGACTCACTTTTGTTACGTCTTTTCTATTCATTTTCTATTTCTGAATCGAATCTGAAGGACTTTGTGGCCAACATGCAACACCAGCTTCCCAGTGTGGGAATCACAGGATTTCAGCATTCAGCGGCTTCCGGCAGGATCCCCTAGGTTACGTTCAGCAATCTTCAGCTGCGTTTTTTTTTTCTTTTTCTCTTTCCTTCCTTTCGTTCTTTTTTTTTTTTTTTTTTTTCCTTTTTTTTTTTTTCTTTCCAAAGGAAAGAACAAGGGAGGCGAGCCCAGGCGGAACGGAAGTGAGTTATCCCGACACGCGGATCGCAAGCAGCCCAGACCACCGAGCCCTACAGGCCGGGAACGCTGAGCGCGCGCCGCTGGGGAGACGCACACTTCGGGGGCTGTGTGGGCGCGCGCTGGCACCCCACAAGTTCCCATGCCTCTGCCCCGCCGATCCAGCCAGACAAAGACCGCAAGTTCCCCGGCCCACGGCTCCAGGCAGGCGGGGACCAGTCTCCCCGAATTAGGCCCGTTCCGGGCCCCCGGCGCCCTCACCCGCCGCGGGGGGAGTCTCCGGGTGCCCCTGCGTGATCGGGGTCCTCCCGCAGCGCCCCCGCTCCTGCTGGCGCCCTGCGCCCCGAGGACTGCGGCCGGACCCCGGCCCCTCCCCGGTCCCGCGGCTGCAGGCCCACGCGCCCCACGCGCCCCGCGCGCTCCCGCCCCAGCTCCGCCCAAGAGCCCTGCCCGGGACTCCGTGGCCTCTCGGACCCCGCCCCCGCGGCCCCGTCCGGGCCCCCATACCCACCCGGGTCCCGCTGCGGGGGCCGGATTCGCGCCGGCTCTGAGAGCCGCCACCGTCGCCTCCGCCGCTGCCGCCGCCAGTGAGGCGCGGCGGGGCGGGGACGCGCGGGGAGGCCCGGCCCCCGGCCCGCCCCCCAGGCCCGCCCCCGGCCGGGTTTCCCGCCCGCCTTCCGGCCCAGCCCTGGGCGCCGGCCCCTCGTCCGCGGCTGGCCCTCCCTCAGGCCTCGCCGCGCCGCGGCCCCGGGGACTGTGCCCCGGCCCGAGCCCCGCGCCCGGGGAAGACACAGGGCCCCTCGGACGCTCCGCGAGCGCGCTCGCCCTCCGCCGCCGCCCCCTGCAGGGAAATTTCGGAAATTTCTCCTATTTGGGGCTAGGAAGGGACGACACCCTCGGGAAGACCCCCCGGGCGTCCCTGCTTCCCAAGGAGTCTCCGTAGGACCCCTGGAGAGGAGCACCGGAGCCCCCCAGGGCCGGAGACGGAGAAGCGCGCCAGGCGCGGGGCACCCGGCCCCCGGTACCCCAGCCCGCCGGCCACTCCCGGGCGCCGAGCAGTGCGGACTCCCCCGGTGCCCGGCCGGTCCCTCCAGGGCCTCGAGACGCCCGCTGGGCGCACGCAGACGCCGCTGTCGCTTTACAGAAACGGAGCGCAGGCGAGGCGGGACCCGGGCGCCGAGAGCGATCAAGGAAATGCAGGGTCGTGCTCTGACCATTGCAGTCTAAGGGATGACACCTCGGGGGTGGCACAAAGGCCGCGCCGCCCCCGGAGGCCCCCGCCCTCGCCGCGCGCGTGGTCCCAGCCCCGCCGGATGTTGACAGCGTCGCCTAGCAACGGGAGATGGCGGAGCCGGGCGGCGAGGCAGGCGGGTAAGCCGGGTCGAGGGGCCGCGGGTCTTGGAGCCGCCAGGCCGCGCTCCCCGGTCACCGCTCCGGGTCGCCCCCGCCTCGCCCCTTCGCCTCCACTGCCCCTTCCTCTCGCCTGTGTCCTCCCTTCTCTCGCCGTTTTGCGGGCCTTTCCCATCCACCGCGTTCATGCCCCCCCACCCCCGCCAACCCTTCTCACTTCCCCCCTCCCGTCCCTTTGTCCTCTCCCGGCCTCCCTCTTTCCACTACTCTAAGCGTGCGACTCCGCCTCAAACCCGGGCCCGCTGGCTCTGCAGTCACCATGGCAACCACTCCCCGTGGCGGTCCCCACGCGGAGCCCTCCTGAGAGCAGAGGGTCCCGCAGGGCGCGGGTCTGTGGGATGCCGCCCCTGACCTTGCGCCTGGGCCACTCGCTGTGGCCGGAGACCAGGCCGGTCCCGCTCCGCCCTCCTGCAAGGACAGATCCCCTCTCGCCGGCTTGGGGGGGTGACCCGCGATGGGAGGGGTCCCTGCGGCTAGGCGGCCCCGCGATGGACCGCGGTCACCCTCCTGGGGCCTGGGCGCGCACAGGGAGGGCGGCTGGGTGAAAATCCACCCACCTCTGCCACCCGGCCTCTGCTTACTTAGGCTGTTTAAAAGGATAGAAACAGGGCCGGGCGCGGTGGCTCAAGCCTGTAATCCCAGCACTTTGGGAGGCCGAGGCAGGTGGATCACGAGGTCGAGAGATCGAGACCATCCTGGTCAACATGGTGAAACCCCGTCTCTACTAAAAATACAAAAAATCAGCTGGGCATGGTGGCGCGTGCCTGTAATCCCAGCTACTCAGGAGACTGAGGCAGGAGAATTGCCTGAACCCAGGAAGCGGAGGTTGCAGTGAGCCGAGATCGCGCCATTGCACTCCAGCCTGGGTAACAAGAGCGAAACTCCGCCTCAAAAAAGAAAAGAAAAAAAAAAAAAAAAAGGTTAGAAACAGTCTGAAAAAAATTTGCCTTTTTACCGTAGACACTTCCGTATTCTTTCATTTTTTTTTTAAGGTTGGTCTGTAAGTACTGACACAGAAAGACTAAAGGTATTAATAAAATTATAGGCATAAATATAAAACAGTAGGTATAGTTTGATCTCTAATAAAGGGTGTGTGCGTGTTGAAAGACTGTAGTCCTAAGTATTACCGATGAGTATCTTGGGAAGGAAAGGGAAGACCACAGGAGGCTATCACTGTCTGTCTTAAACGTATCTGTATTCCTTTGACAGATAAAAAATAGCTTGGATCTTTAATTTGTAAAAAAAAAAAAAAAAAAAAAAAAAAAATACATATATATAGTGAACCGCGGCATTCTTGTGCTACATAAATCATGGAGAAACTCAGAGTCCCTAGAATGCTGGCCCTGATCACACTGCTTTCTCTACTGCCTATTTCTTTTTCCCCGGTTCCGTCCCAGACACAAGTTATATTTGAGATGATTTTTCTGGGATGATCTAATCCTGCTGTTCCTTTGATGTTTTGCAAATTATATTTTTCATTCCTTCATGGAGCTTTGTGTTTGTGGCACCTCCGCCACCGGACAGGCAGGACCTAGTGCTGTGGTTCCTGAAAAATAGGACCAAGTCGTGACAACAGCCTACGGGGAGGCAGAGAAGTAAGAGTCCAAAAGAGACAGGCAGAATTCAGGAGGTGGAAAGTGCCAAGAAAAAGAAAATCATTGCTCGAAACTGTTCCATTATGTCTCGAAAACCAGGTCTCATCCGGAAGATGGATCGGCTTCTGGGGGAGAGAAGGAAGGGGTTGAAGAAGGCGACATGGTAAAATTCCCTGGGGGAAGTTATTCTGGGCTTGTGTTTACTAGGAATTAAAGAGAATTAGAGGCCAGGCACGGTGGCTCATGCCTGGAATCCCAGCACTTTGGGAGGCCAAGACAGGTGGATCATCTGAGGTCAGGAGTTTGAGACCACCCACAGCCACATGATAAAACCCCGTCTCTACTAAAAACATAAAAATTAGCCAGGCCTGGTGGTGTGTGCCTGTAATCTCTGCTATTCGGGAGTCTGAGACAGGAGAATCACTTGAACCCAGGAGGTGGAGGTTGCAGTGAGCCAAGAACGTGCCATTGCACTTTAGCCTGGGCAACAGACTGAGACCCTGTCACCAAAAAAAAAAAAAAAAAAAAAAAAAGAAAGAAAGAAAGAAAAGAAAAAAGAACAGATGCACTGAAGCATGAAACATGATCTCTTAGTGACGGTGAGAAGGGTATAAATGCAGTTTTCCCGTTGGTATAATTACGCTATAAAAAATAAAACCTCACAAGGTTTTATTTTATACTTTGTTTCCTGATTTTTTTTTCCTGCCTCACCTTTGCAGGGGTCACCACTAGAGAACAACAATGGCCAGAAAAGTGAAGACACTGTTGGTAGCACAGAGCGTCCTGAAGAAGTCACAGCCCCAGTGGAAGCTGCAATTGAAGAGGAGGTGGAAGCTGAAGGGGACGTTACAGTGGAAGAGGAAGCCACAGTGGAAGAGGAAGAGGAAGAAGAGGAAACGGAGTCCTACGGAGATTCGGAAAGCGAAGAGGAATATTACTTTATGGAAGCTGCATCCCCCAAAAGGGAGATCAGTGCTGCAGCTAGGACTTACTCCTATTTCAGTCCTCCTGGGGAATCGCCCGGAGAGGAGTCATATGAGAGGGCTAGCGGGGAGGCTGGTCTCGAAGGCTCCCACCCAGAGGCCACAGGTCCGTCAGAATCCAGAGAAGGGAGGGTCACCTCTGCAGAGCCATCCCACGGAGGCTTAGGCCCGTCGGTGCAAACGGGCCAGGTCACCCCTGGGCCAGCAGTGGGCAGATTGGTGAGTAGCCCTGAATTCTGTTTTGTGTCAGTATGTCACAGCCCACAGGGTTTGTCACCCTCTGCAGGGAACTTGGGAATACACTGTAAATACGAATTGCAGTCCCTGTTAGAAGTTTCTCAGCAAGGCCATGTGCGGTGGCTCACACCTGTAATCCCAGCACTTTGGGAGGCCAAGGTGGGTGGTTCACCTGAGGTCAGGAATTCGAGACCAGCCTGGCCAATATGGTGAAACCCCATCGCTACTAAAAATATAAAAAAAATTAGCCAGGCGTAATGGTCCACACTTGTTGTCCCACTTACTCAGGAGGCTGAGGCAAGAGAATCACTTGAATCCAGGAAGCGGAGGTTGCAGTGATCTGAGATCGCTCCCCTGCACTCCAGCCTGGGCAACAGAGCGAGACTCCATCTCAAAAAAAAAAAAAAAAATGAAGAAAGAAGACTGTGTTTTCTTTTTAGTTAGTTAATCTGGTAGATTATGTTGACTGATTTTCAGAAGTTAAAGCAACCCTGCCTTCTGAGATAAACACAGGGAGCGCTTTGGAGCGATGCGAATTGTCCATTCCTCATTATACCCTCGGTGTATTCGTATTCTTCCATCTGCATCGACTCAGGGCTCTCCGTGTGATTCACTGGGTTATAACACATCCTGTCATTATGTGTTCTGATGCTCAGCTTGGCCAGTGAGAGCCACTGAAAGCAGCTTTTGTGCCCCCCGAGGCGCCTCCATCCTTCTGTGAGGACTGTCTTGCTTTCTGGCATAGACTGCCCAGCCTCAGAATCAGACATTCCTCCAGGAGCCCTGTTTCTGTTAGTGGAAAGTAGAACTTAGAAGGTATGACTTGGACGCTGGGGCGTCACTGTCCCCGGGCCCTCTCGGTGGCAGGAGATAGGGTATGCTTGTACTGTACAGACTTCCCCCACGTGTATACATGCAATGTGTGTGCAGACACACACTCACATCTGTTTCATCGGCACACATCCCCGCCCCGGCCTTGGCTCACAACAGTACCTCTGAATTCCATCTCAGCTCCATAAGGGATCCCTCCCGATTTTCTCCTCTTCCTTTATTTATTTATTTTTTTCTTTGAAACAGAGTCTCACCCAAGTAGCTAGGACTACAGGCACTCACCATCATGCCCGGCTAATTTCTGCATTTTTTTTGTAGAGAGGGGGTTTCACCATGTTGCCCAAGCTAGTCTCGAACTCCTGGGCTCAGTCAGTCCTCCCGCCTCGGCCTCCCGAAGTGCTGGATTACAGGCATGAGCCACGCACGGTGCCGGCCTCCTCTTCCGTATTTTATCTCCTTTCTCCCACAGGGAGAAGCCTCTCCCGTGATCCTTGTTGTACTCACTGATGCGGTCAATCCCCTGCACATCACCAGCC